GAGAAAGAAATACAAACAATAATATGCTAATCACATGCACAAATTGTAAGCCATGTTGCGTGTTCTATGTCTGTCATTACTGGAAAATACTGAATTATTACAAGGAGCTGGAAGGAGCCACTAATCTAACAATCATAACAGAGGGAATTATATCCAACTTCTCTTTATGTATATGATAATGTTATCTAACCTCTCAGTGTTGAGAATTTGTAAACAGATATGAATTCTCGGACTAATTATCAAGAGAAATGCTATCTCTGAATTTATATATATATATATATATATATATATAATAATATATATAATATATATATATATATATATATATATATATATAATATATATATATATATATATATATATTTTATTATATTATCACACTGGCCGATTCCCACCAAGGCAGGGTGGCCCGAAAAAGAAAAACTTTCACCATCATTCACTCCATCACTGTCTTGCCAGAAGGGTGCTTTACACTACAGTTTTTAAACTGCAACATTAACACCCCTCCTTCAGAGTGCAGGCACTGTACTTCCCATCTCCAGGACTCAAGTCCGGCCTGACGATTTCCCTGAACCCCTTCATAAATGTTACTTTGCTCACACTCCAACAGCACGTCAAGTATTAAAAACCATTTGTCTCCATTCACTCCTATCAAACACGCTCACGCATACCTCACGCAATATATATATATATATATATATATATATATATATATATATATATTATATATATATCTATTCTTTTCATTCAACACACCGGCCGTATCCCACCGAGGCGGGGTGGCCCAAAAGGAAAAACGAAAGTTTCTCCTTTTACATTTAGTAATATATATAGGAGAAGAGGTTACTAGCCCCTTGCTCCCGGCATTTTAGTCGCCTCTAACAACACGCATGGCTTACGGAGGAAGAATTCTGTTCCACTTCCCCATGGAGGTAAGAGGAAATAAACAAGAACAAGAACTAGTAAGAAAAATGGAAGAAAACCCAGAGGGGTGTGTATATACATATATGCTTGTACATGTATGTGTAGTGTGACCTAAGTGTAAGTAGAAGTAGCAAGACGTATCTGAAACCTTGCATGTTTATGAGACAGAAAAATGGACACCAGCAATCCTACCATCATGTAAAACAATTACAGGTTTCCGTTTTACACTCACTTTGGCAGGACGGTAGTACCTCCCTGGGCAGTTGCTGTCTACCAACCTACTATATATATTATAATATATATATATATATATATATATATATATATATATATATAATATATATATATAATATATATATATATATATATATATATATATATATCTTTCTTTCATTCAACACACCGGCCGTATCCCACCGAGGCGGGGTGGCCCAAAAGGAAAAACGAAAGTTTCTCCTTTTACATTTAGTAATATATATAGGAGAAGAGGTTACTAGCCCCTTGCTCCCGGCATTTAGTCGCCTCTAACAACACGCATGGCTTACGGAGGAAGAATTCTGTTCCACTTCCCCATGGAGGTAAGAGGAAATAAACAAGAACAAGAACTAGTAAGAAAAATGGAAGAAAACCCAGAGGGGTGTGTATATACATATATGCTTGTACATGTATGTGTAGTGTGACCTAAGTGTAAGTAGAATTGCAAGACGATCTAAAACCTTGCATGTTTATGAGACAAAAAAATTTGGACACCAGCAATCCTACCATCTTGTAAAACAATTACAGGTTTCCGTTTTACACTCACTTTGGCAGGACGGTAGTACCTCCCTGGGCAGTTTGCTGTCTACCAACCTACTTATTATATATATATATTATATAAATATATATATATATATATATATATATATATATATATATATATATATATATATATATATATTAATAATATATATATATAATAAGAATGGGGTCCACCTCTGGTGTAAATTGTGGGACCCATAGCCTCGGAAAAGTGGATGAAAATACTTCAAGGATATATATATTTTATTTCTTCCTGAAGCAGTTTGAATATTCCACTTTCCCTACCACCCCATCTTTTCATATTTTTTTTTTACCAGTAGGAATATTTTATTACATAATATGGTACAAAAGATTTAAGAGATACATTGTTGGTATAAAGGTGGCATATACGGTACATGTTACGTGTGTATCACCGATTATATATGTTATTTTTTTTTATTATCACACCGGCCGATTCCCACCAAGGCAGGGTGGCCCGAAAAAGAAAAACTTTCACCATCATTCACTCCATCACTGTCTTGCCAGAAGGGTGCTTTACACTACAGTTTTTAAACTGCAACATTAACACCCCTCCTTCAGAGTGCAGGCACTGTACTTCCCATCTCCAGAACTCAAGTCCGGCCTGCCGGTTTCCCTGAATCCCTTCATAAATGTTACTTTGCTCACACTCCAACAGCACGTCAAGTATTAAAAACCATTTGTCTCCATTCCATCCTATCAAACACGCTACGCATGCCTGCTGGAATCCAAGCCCCTCGCACACAAAACCTCCTTTACCCCCTCCCTCCAACCCTTCTAGGCCGACCCTACCCCGCTTCCTTCCACTACAGATGATACACTCTTGAAGTCATTCTGTTTCGCTCCATTCTCTCTACATGTCCGAACCACCTCAACAACCCTCCTCAGCCCTCTGGACAACAGTTTTGGTAATCCCGCACCTCCTCCTAACTTCCAAACTACGAATTCTCTGCATTATATTCACACCACACATTGCCCTCAGAATGACATCTCACTGCCTCAGCCTTCTCCTCGCTGCAACATCATCACCCCGCTTCACAACCCTATAAGAGCGTGGTAAAACTATACTCTCATACATTCCCCTCTTTGCTCCAAGGACAAAGTTCTTTGTCTCCACAGACTCCTAAGTGCACCACTCACTTTTTTCCTCATCAATTCTATGATTCACCTCATTTCATAGACCCATCGCTGACCCACGTCCACTCCCAAAAATATCTGAACTACGTTTCACTCCTCCTACTCTCTCCCTCCAATTATTGTTCAATCTTTCATCACTAATCTTTTGTATATCCTCATAACCTTATCTTTCCTGTATTCACTTTAATTTATCTTTTTGCACACCCTACCCAATTCAGTCCAACCAACTCTGAATTTCTTTCAGAAATCTTGGCCAAGAGCACAGTGTCATCCAGCAAAGAGCAGCTGTGACAACCCCACTTGGTGTGATTCTTTACTTTATAACTCCACGACTTATGCAAGACCCTGCGCATTTATTCTCTTACAACCCCATTAATAAATATATTAAAATCAACACGAAATGGACATCCACAATCCACTTGTACTAAGGCCTACTTTTACTGGGAAAATTCTCCCTCTTTCCTACATACTCTAACTTGAGCTCACTATCCTCGTAAAAAACTCTTCATCTTTTCATTAACCTACTCCTACAACCTATACACTTGCAACATCTGCCACATTTGGCCCACCCATATCCACCCGGTCATACTCCTTTTTTCCAATCCATAAATTGCCACCAACCACTTCATTTTTCCTTATCTAATATACTTTACATTATATGTTTTCATATGTATATAAGTGTATAGTAATGTATATATAATGTATATATATATATATATATATATATATATATTTATATATATATATATATATATATATATATATATATATATATATATATATATATATATATATATATATAAACAATAAAGTCGATAAAAAAAATACTTCACACACAATAACGAAACAGAAAACTGTTGCAGAGAGAGAAAGGAGAGCTATAAAGTAACCATGAAATAGTAACGGATATAACCGAGCTAGATGTAATAGGCACACGCAAGCTACCTCACTGGAGACAGCTAATCCACTACACAACCTTATTCCAGCGGATAGTTTTGGTTTATTATGGCCGCTTGTAATACCGCAGCAGCTACGTATATATTAGAAGGGATCATCAGGGTTGATAGCTGGCTGTTAGCATTTGGAAATTCACCACTGCAGCGATAGATGACTATGAATTTAATAATTTTTATGGATGGATCTAAGGATGAGAGCACGGGTAATATACACCAAAAGGACGATATTTTTTCGCTCTATATACACCGAAAGATATATTTTTCATTTATATACACCTGTTTTTGGGATTAAAATATTCCTGTCTTGTGCTGTGTAACCAGAGAATATTCTTTACATTTAACAAAACTTTATTTATTTTTTTATTTTCGTAGGAAGTCAAAGCTAAAGCCCATCCTTATTTATTTTATATATATATAAATCAATCTTTGTATTTTGTGTATGCATATACACTGTCAGACCTTCGGCCATTAGTGTTATTTTAAGGTTTTGGAAGCGTCTTGCATATCTCCAAGCACATGGAACCCAAGTAATCTGCCTGGGTATGAAAAATTTGGAAAAATCTGCTTGGGACAAGAAAACGTTGAAAATCTGCTTTGAATGAAATAAGCTGAAAATCTGCTGGGAATGAAAATGTTGAAAATCTGCTGGGGAAAGAAAATGTTGAAAATCTGCTGGGAATGAAAATGTTGAAAATCTGCTAGGGAAAGAAAATGTGAAAATCTGCTAGGGAAAGAAAATCTGCTGGGAATGAAATTGTTGAAAATCTGCTGGGAATGAAATTGTTGAAAATCTGCTGGGGAAAGAAAATGTGAAAATCTGTTGGGGAAAGAAAATGTTGAAAATCTGCTGGGAATGAAAGTGTTGAAAATCTGCTGGGAAAAGAATATGTTGAAAATCTGCTGGGAATGAAATTAGTTGAAAATCTGTTGGGTATTTGTAAGACTGAAAATCTTTCGGCGATTGGAGACGCTGCGCATCTCCTAGGATTCAGAATACTTAAAAATCTGTTGAGGAGGGGGATCTAGGAAATGTTGAAAATCGTGGTAGAACTGAGAGTAGAGTTAGTGTGTAAAAGAGAGTAGAGTCAGGGCGTAAATTAAGGTTAAGTGCGTTTATGAGGGTAAATTTAGTACGCAAATGAGAGTAAAAGTAGTGCTTAAATATGG